AAGCAGAGAGGCAAAGAGAAATGTTCAAAAGCCAAACCAATCAGAGGAGAGCTCAGGCTGTGATGTCATTGTTGTCAGGAAGAAGAGAGAACAGGAGAGGATGAAACAGAATGATGAGCAATCCAGTAAAATCAGCTTTTTTCTTGGAAAACTGGCTTTTATTGTTTTTTAAATGAGTAGAATTAATAGAATTAGACTTGTTTTCACATTTTTTTTGTTTTAAACTAATTTAAAAGGAACCAGTGTTGCTTTGATGTGGCATTTTTATCAACCTTTGAGTAAAAACAGGTCTAAGTTACCCTTTCTTTGGGGCTATGTTTTGTTGATGTGCTTTGGAATCTTTTCAAACAAGTTTGTTTTATTTATATTCCATCTATGTATTTCTCTCTCGTCTCTCTCTCTCTCTCACTTTCTCTCTCTCTCTCTCTCTCCAGGTGAGGTGATTGATGTGGACAAAGGTATCGTGTGTGAGAACGTTCCCATTATCACGCCCAACGGAGACGTGGTCGTCTCGTGCCTGAACTTAAAGGTGAGCTTTAGTTCCCCCCCCTAGACTGGTGAGTTAGCAGCATTTAGGATGAGCCCCAGAGGAGCCTCTCCTGGCCATTTTTCAAAATAAAAGATTATGCGGACTCGGAGAATAAATACAACTCAAAGAAGTAATTGTTACTAGGGCCTCGTTAGCATTGGGGCTAACTTTGACTCAAGACTTGATTTGCTGGTTCTGGGACAATTCAAATAAATCCTTTAAGATTTAAAGAAACAATGGACTAAAAGACTGCTGTGGCCCTTTGGACCAAACCAAATCCTGTTCAGCTGTGGCCCTTTGGGCCAAACCAAATCCTTGCCAGGCTTGACCCTTTGGGCCAAAGCAAGTCCTGGCCATTGGACCAAACCAAGTCCTGGCCAGGTGTGGCCCTTTGGACTAAACCAAATCCTGGCCAGATGTGGCCCTTTGGAACAAACCAAACCCTTTGGACCAAACCATTTGGACCAAACCAAACCCTTTGGACCAAACCCTTTGGACCAACCCTTTGGACCAAACCAAACCCTTTGGACCAAACCAAATCCTGGCACGGTGAAACCAACCGACCGGTCAAACCAAGTCTTGTCCAGGTGTGGCCCTTTGGACCAAACCAACTCCTGGCCAG